GGTGCTGCGGAGAGTAGGTATGGATGGGCTGTTTCCGTCGCCAGAGGCCTTCTTGATGGTTCGCCACCATTCACCAGATGCCATACACCCAGAGGCGAACTTCTGCGCCAAGCTTGCTGTGAATGCCTGCTTGGAAGTTTCCAGGCAATGGTTAGCTGAGTGCTTGGCGACATTGTAACGGGCTTGCAGCTGGGCACTTGACCAGTCGGCGCAGAGTCTCCTCCATGCTTATTGTTTCTGTGCTACAGCCTCTGTGCATTCCGGTGTCCACCAAGAGGGGTTAGATGGTTTCATTCACAACTGCTTAGATGGCATGTATCGGCGCATTCTTTCCAGAATATTCTGGGTCAAGTGCATACACATTGCATCAGGATCATCACTGACGGTGGACTGCCAATCTGTTGTTCTAAAGAATTGGCGGAGTCTGTCCCAGTCTGCGCGTTGGTAACGCCAGACAGTTCTGGTCACTGGTGGTTCCTCTGTCGTGCTTACATGAAAGTCAGCTAGGACACAGGCATGGTCAGAGTTTCCCAGAGGTGCTAAGGTATTGACTATCGCATCTCCCGGTAGGTCAGTCATTATTAAGTCGAGTGGGTTAAGGCCCCTGGTGGGCTCATGCACGTGCTGCTCCAAGCAGTGAAAAGCACACATGTCTTCAGTGTACACACCTGCATGAGTTGTCTTGGTGCTGCCGAGGCAATCCACGTTGTGTACGTTAAAATCTCCAGCCAATACCACATATTGACAAGGTTTACGGGCCAGGTCTATGCCAGCACTGATGGCTTCAAGGGCACTGATGTCATTGTCGTGGCAGGAGCCAGAGCGATATGCAGCACACACAGCCACTGACTTCTTATCCACAGTTCTGACACCCAGCCATGTTAGCTCCTCATTACCGACCTGAATGTCATCGAGTTCCCGGAGGGCCAGACTGGCTTTAACCCAAACCGCAACTCCTCCTCCATGAGCTGTTCGATCCTTCCGCAGTGGGAGTAGTAGCCAGGCAAGGACAGTTCGGAATCAGTAGCCTTCTCAGGGGTTACCTTGCTCTCTGTGACAATGGCAATGTCAGGTTGGTGAATGTGTACAGCATGGTGAAAGTCACCCAGTTTACTCAGTAGTCCAAATGTGTTTGTCAGTAGGATCCGAAAGGATCTAATTGGAGCTTTGAGCTTGAGTGTCGGAGGACTCGGAGAGAGCGTCACTGTGTGAGCCGGACAAGTTGTCCCCCTTCGGACGCTCACGGTGGCGCCAAACCCGCAGGTACAGTGGGCGAGGCCTAAAGTTTGGAGCAGTGGCGATTTCACGATCAGTCGCATCGATCATCAAGCGGGCAGACACTTTCCCATCTTCTGTGGTGCGTATGCTGCACTGGTGAACCTTCACCGGCTTGTTCACTGCTGCAGAGTGTTGCTCAGTGAATTCCTTGACACTTTCTTCACTGCTATTTTGATCGACAAGTGGATGCTGCAAGTGAATCGCCTGGCGGAGGTGGCTTCCAACCAGCCACATGCTGCGTATGAGGTGTTTGTAAAGGGCCTCATGTCCAAGTGGCGGCACCACTTGCTCGTCCTATCTTGCCCGGCGAATCTTTTGGACCGTCTCGACGCCGCCATTACGACCAAGCTGCTGCCAGCGCTCAGTGGCCATTCCTGTTTGGACGAGTTGCCACTGAGAAAGCTGCTATCGCTACCAGCGCGGTTTGGTGGCATGGCAATCCCTGTGCCCTCGGTGGAGGCCAAGAAAGAGTTTTCTGCATCCAGATTGATTGTGGCTCCTGTGGCTTCCTGCACACGACCACCAGCACCCCCAACAAGCACTAACGAGACTACCCAAACAGACCAGCTGAACGAGGCAACAGCCCTCAGCAGGCTGGAGGCCGGGCGTATTCGCAGGGAGAGAGCTACCCAAGCCACGGATTTTACGGTACTACTAAACTTCTATTTGAGAAGAGTGGTTTACTGCCGCTAAATTCACAGGATGTGTGTAATGCTGACACTGAAGAGACTGTGAAAGAGGCCTTACAGAAGAAGCATCCTGCCCTGGCCGAGCCTCAGCTCGGGTGTTCTCCTTCCAGGTGAGCCATCAGAACCTTAATCCATTTTTATGAAGCCATCACGGCAGATGTTGTTAAGAAAAGAGTCATGCAGTCCGCCGGGCCTTGATATGCAGGCATGGGAACCTATGCTGTCCTCCTTCAAGGGTGCGTCGTCCAACCTTGCTGCTGCCATGGCTGCTGCTGCAAGGAAGTTGTGTACGGATCAAGTCAGAGGTGCCGGAGTGGATGCATTTTTTAGCAGCACGTTTGGTGGCTTTCAACAAAAACCCTGGCGTACGCCCCAGAGCTGTTGGCGAAGTGTATCGCAGGATCATTGCCCAGGCTATTCTGACATTGCTGCTGCTGTTGTGCCGCATCAGCTATGTGTTGACATTCCCTCGGCTTGTGAACCTGCCACTACAGAGGGTTTGCATTACGATTTGCGGAATTATTTTTCGGAAT